CTTTAGCTAGCTTATTACAGGACTGGCTGCAGGCGTTGTCTGTGATGTAAGACCTAGGGTACTGAATGATCTGGGGGCCCCGGTATTGGAGAGCCACAAACAGTTCTTCTGTGACCACCACTCAGCTTAGAACCTGGTCCTGTATATTTGGGGCCAGATCCTCAGCTGGTGTAAATGGCCATAACCTTATTGACTTCAATTGGGCATCTGACCCTGTCATCCTCTTCTTTGAAGGGCTTTTAATTCTTGTGCTAGCTACGTGCCTGGGGGCCTGGTGGTTAGATAAGAACAGCAATAAGAACCACAACGAATGTGAAATCCGGAGATAAGATTAAAGCAGTGGTTTCCATTTTCAGGCTTTCACACAGATTGTTTCGTTCGGTTCCATCTTGTGCCTGTTCCTGGCCGGGCATTTCATGTTCAAACAAACCCACAAGCTGAAGGACAGATCCTCATTTGGTGTGGATCCATGTAGCTCCATTGATTTCAGTGGAGAATTACGGTCGGGGACAGTAGCAGTTTGAACTTGGTCAAAGTCAACGGAGTGACACTGATTTATACTGGCTGAGGTTCTGGCCTTGTGTTTTGCTGGGACGTCACGTGCCCTCTACCTCGCTCACCTCCTTAAATCAAACCTGTAATCCAGTCTCATGCTTCATGGCTTCAGCCGATCACCTGCAGGGGTCAGGAAGGAATATTTGCTCCCTGATGCACAAGTGGTTAGATGTATTTAGGTTTTTTTTTTCCTCCACCTTTCTCTGAAGCATCAGAGGTGGCCATGACTGGAGATGGTACACCAGACCAGTGCTCTGAGGTGGTCCAGAGAACCCGCTCTCTAGAGGTCTGGCTTGTGGGTCTTGCTCACATGCTCAGGGTCAAACTGATCATATTTAGTATCAGGAAAGAATTTCCCTGCAGGTCAGATTCACAGGGACTTCGGGGTTTTTTCACTTTCCTCTGCAGCCTGGGGAGTGGTTCACTGCTAGGATCACCTGGGCAGGTCTCACCTTATCAATCAGGGGCCTCTGATATTGGTGCACCTCGGTCTCTCCTGTTCTCTGCCTGTCCTCCTACTTTCCTGAGGACTGAAATATTTTAGTCTAACTAAAGTCTTCGGCCTTGATATAGGCTAGCTGGGCGAAATGGCCTGTGTTATACAGGAGGTCAGATTTGCTGATCCGATGGTCCCTCCTTGCCTAAAACTCTCTCTAGTCCCTCTCTTCTTTCACATCGCCTTCCTCTGCAGCCAGGCCCCTCTTTTCCTGTTTCCCCACCCAATTGCCTCAGCTTCCCGCTGTACAGAGACCGCAGCTCATTAAGCAAACAAATCAGAGCTCACCAAAGTGAAAAACAAGACACGTGATCCACCCCCGTTGGAACCTGCAGCCCCACCCTGCCCCTTTGCTTATTGTTACTGCTTATCATGTCCTGTCTAACTAAAAGGTTGAGCCCCATTTAACTGAGAACAGGGTTGGTTCATTATGTCGGAAGTTTCTCAGACACAAGCCTTGAACCAGGTTCTCAGCCCCACCACTGCCTCTCTCTCTGCACTGCTTTACGGGTGCCAAAGGGATAGCTGGCTGGATTAGACAGCCAGCAGTGGGTTCCTTTTGCTTTCCACACCTCCATACTGGGTTACCTTAGTCATGGGGTCCCCCTGAGGCATGCTGGGGCACAGGAGTAAGGCATGAGCATGTTGAGTTCCAAAAATCCCCTGACGATATAAGAGCTCTTTGGTGGGGCTGTTATCAGCTCATGGAAGGTAGAGCAATCCTGAGGCTGCTCTAACATGTGCTCAGGGTTAAATTAGTCCCTGGGTGTCCTGGAATTAGAAATGTGCAAAGATGGAATTTAGCACCCGACACCTGGGGTTCTGCGTTGAGCAGACCTCGGTTGGAACTGAGGATCAGGGCTGTATCTTTGCAAAGCACGGTGCACACTTAGTACCTATAGTAAGGGAAGGAGCCCTGAATTCACACAGTGCCTATGCAAAGCAGTGACCCAGAATCAAATGATTCATAACCCTTTCAGCCACCCTTATCCTAAGTTTTGTATTTACAATCAAAACTTCCGAACAGGTGAGTTTTGTGTGAGCTTCAGATTTTGTTAAAAAAATGTCACACAATGTAGTGTATAAGTTGGCTGCGGTCACAAAAGCTGGCTGGAAAATGGTATTTTCTGTTCATATGTCAGCAAGAAATTAAAAAAATGTCATTTTTGGAGGGAATGTTCTGTATGTATTCCCCCCCACCCACTTTTTAAAAAACTCCCAAATTTTGGTTTTTGGTTTGTTTTGGTTTTTGAAAGCTGAACATTTTGAGTTTGCAAAGTTTCATTTGAAAAAAAAAAGCATATTTTGAAATCAATTAATATTGGACGTATCAGGCAAGGTATCTGTCATGGAGAAAGAGAAGGACTTGTGCCACGGGACAAGGAATTCATCTGGAATACAGGGCCCATTTCTGGTTACCCCTGTTCAAGAAAGACGATTTCAAACTGGAACAGGTGCAGAGATAGAGCTAGTAAGATTGATGAGAGGTGACTAAGAGAACTTGGCTTGTTTAGCTTACGAAAGGAAGGGTGAGAGGGGCCTTCTGCTCTCTGGCTGCTCTCTAGAAATACATCAGTTGGGGTAAATGCTCTGGAGCTAAAAGATGATGTTGGTGCGACAACAAATGGGGATGAATAAACGGAGGCTGGAAATGAGAAGAAGATTCCGAGCTATCAGAGGAGGGAGGGTCTGGAGCAGCCTCCCAGTGGGAGTTGTGGACAGATGGAAACAGGCAACTGGTCTTTCGAGGCCAATACCCTGTTACGGGACTTGCTGAAGGGGATTACATGATGGTGTTGTGTCTGATAGCCGGGGCTGGACTCAATGACCCATAAGGTTCCTCCCAAGTCCTATATTCCTATTTTGGGAGAAATTGTCACTTTTAAAAGGGCCATTTTGGGGAGGGTTGAAAAATGTTTTTGATGGAAAAATGATGAGCAGCTCCAGCTACCCACATCCCTTCTGGATCTTCCCCACAATGGGGCAAGAATACAGCAGTTGCAAGAATATGAAATACCCACTTCCAATCAAACTCGCCTGGCTGACATTAGCTCTATTTTTGGTTCATGCTGCCATGGCGTATGTCACCAGAATCTCGTCAATGATTTCTTTCCTCCCTATTTATGAAAACCTTTTGGAGGTGGAGAAATTGAAACCCGCTTCCTTCCCAAGCTAACGGCAGGGCATAAAGGCCACCCTTAGGTGAGTGAGGTTTGCAAGATCAGGTCTGAAGTATGCAAAATATACCACCAAAAAGAACGACACCAAAGGCTGGGAAGTGAGGTTGTGCCCACACCTACCACGGATACGACTCCAAAACTAGTTATAAACCCCATGCAAGACTGGGCTTGAGGCGACTTGAATCTCTGACTACCAGAAGCTGGGAAGGGAAGACTGGGGTGGATAACTTCAACTGCCCTGTTCTGTATACTCCCCCTGAAGCCCTGGTGCTGGCTGCTGTCAGAGACAAGCTGCTGGGCTAGTTGGACCATTGGTCTGACCCGGGATGGCCACTCCTATGTTCTTCAAAGTAAAGGAGAAAATGTGTACTTTTGACTTGGCTTAGCAGAATTCGACTTTTATTTTTTTATAATTTCAGTGGATAATATCAACATTTATTTTTATCTATTTAAATTTTCACAGTTGTGGGGGTGGGGCAGACAATAATAATGTAGTGACACTAGATGTTGGAATTCAAACAATTAAAGCTTTATAACCCTTAAAACACCACTCGTCATCACATGTGAAAATATACTAAATAAATTCCTTTAAATTAACTCTATACATTCACAAGCAGCATTCTTCTTACTTTGCCGATCAATAAATTTTGATTAATATCTATGGAAATATTTGTTGGTTTGTCTAAGTGTGTGTGTGTGTGTGAAATCGACGTTTACCAACACTGACAGATAAAAATCGAATTCTTCAAGTCTATAATGAACCTGTTTCTCCCATCCTTTTAATTTAATATGTAAATAGCGTGTGGAGTTTGCTAAAACAATATAATTAGAAAGACATTATCTAGATTTTATGCTGTTGTGATCATCAAGACTACGTTTCAGTCCCTCCCAGTTTGGCAGCTGAAGACCTGGGTCTTATTTTTCAAGGCCATTAGTGAAAGAGGCCTCAGCAACACTATGAAAGAGGCTCCCTTGGGAGAATGCAGATTGCATAGCCAAGAACAGCGAGTGAGAGCACTGGGGACCAAACATTTTCAGATGATGGGATTCAATGGTGCAGAAAATTTCTGTAACAGTGCAGAGTCTGCTCACCTTTGGGAAACCTCCCTACTTGATAAACAGGCCTGGCAGAATTCAATTAAAAAAATGTTGATGGATAATAATAATGTTTATTTTTAAGCATTTTTTATCAATTTCAATTTTCATGGTTGCAGGAAATCGTGGGAGGGTGAGACAATAAACAGTGTTGATTGAGATTCAAACAAAGTTTTATACGAATTGTCAACATCCGGTGTCAAAATACACCCAGTAAATATCCTTAAATCAAACTCTAAGAAGTTCTCCAGGAGCATTTGTGTAACTTTGCCTATTTGTAAATTTCGTTATTACAGATGGAAATATTTCTTTGCTGTTTGGGTGTGTACGGTCAAATCGATGTTTACCAACATTTTACCAATAAAAAAGTCTAATCCTTCCAAGTGTACAGATAAAACTTTCTCCAGGAAACTCTCCATTTCCAAAAGCACCACTAATTCCTTACTAGGCATAATATGGTCTCTCACATTACCCAAAGATTTCATCTGGGTCCGAGAAATGTTGGCCAAAGATAGTAAGGGGAACCCCAATCCTGACCAAACGAAAAAACAAACCCAACCATCACTGAGATCTTTAATGTCCATTCAGAACAGAGGGGGCTTCCCTATGCAGGAAATATGAAATTTAATTAATCCTAGGAGGATGAAAGGCTGGGTAATTACTGCTTGAATTTTATTTGCTCCCAAGCATCTTAGGAACTTCATTATAATTAGCTATTCCCTACAGCTACTTGAGTGGGAGCAAGGGCTAGCAATCCCATACACAGATGTGGCGCTGGAAAAAATCCCAACACTCATTCAACACCGAGAACCGGAAAACCCTTAAACAGTGCAGGGGAATGTATTTTTGACTGACTGTCATCACTCAGGCTCCTACAAGGTGTTTGAAGATGAGGGGTGGTGGAGGCCAGTCTGGATAGAATGTAAAAGAGACACCAGCCCCAGCTCTCTTCACGCTTGCTTGGTTGCATTTTCAGCGGTTCCATTTTCTTGGTGAGCCAGGTAAGTCCGATTTTAATATATCCTCTCCACTTTAATATCTCGCCTTCATGAAGCAATTTTTAAAAGCGTAGTTAAACTCAGAAATATCCATGTTACCTAGAAGAACACAGAAACCAAGAATTACCAGGTATCTATTCCTACCCACATTAACTGTGTGTTATAATAGAATTAACTAATATTGTTACTTATTATTTTAGTGACTAAAGGCCCTGGCCGAGATCAGGGCCCCATTGCGCGAGGCACCGCACAAACGTATTTCTGCTCCAAAGAGTGAAGTTAGTGAAAAAATGTAGCAGGTGAATGGAACGAACAGGTGTGGGTGGGAGGAGGCAGGATGAGCTAACTGGAGTACAAACATGTTGTCATGCTCTAGGCTATATCATCTGAACATAATACAGCTGGCCTCTTCCCTGGTTGTTTTCGCCAAGCAGTGCTATGGGGGTAGCATGGCACATAGTTAACACTTGCTTTGTCTGGGATGACCTTTCATAGAATCATAGAAACGTTGGGTTGGAAGGGACCTTTAGAAGTCATGAAGTCCAGCCCGCTGCTCTGAGGCAGGACCAAGTAAGCCTAGACCAGCCCTGACAGGGGTTTGGCCAACCTGTTCTTGGAAACCTCCATTGATGGGGATTCCACAACCCTTGGAAGCCTGTTCCACAACTTAACTACTCTTAGAGTTAAGATGTTTTTTCTAATACGTAACTTAAATCTTCCATGCTGCAGATTAAGCTAATTACTTCTTGTCCTACCTTCAGGGGACATGGAGAACAATTGATCTCCGTCCTCTTTGTAACAGCCCTTAACATAGCTGAAGACTTAGAATCATAGAATTATAAAAAGAAAAGGAGTACTTGTGGCACCTTAGAGACTAACCAATTTATTTGAGCATGAGCTTTCGTGAGCTACATGAAGTGAGCTGTAGCTCACGAAAGCTCATGCTCAAATAAATTGGTTAGTCTCTAAGGTGCCACAAGTACTCCTTTTCTTTTTGCGAATACAGACTAACACGGCTGTTCCTCTGAAACCTGACATAGAATTATAGACTCTCAGGGTTGGAAGGGACCTCAGGAGGTCATCTAGTCCAACCCCCTGGTTATCAGGTTTCCCCTCAGTTGTCTTTTCTCAAGATCTAGCATGTCCAGTTTTTTTAACTTTTCCTCATAGATCAGATTTTCTGAATCTTTTGTCACTTTTGTTGCTCTCTGCTGGACTCTCTCCGATTTGTCCACATTTTTCCTGAAGTGCGGTGCCCAGAACTGGACTCAGTGCTCCAGCTGAGGCCTCACCAGTGCTGAGTACAGCGGGACGATTAGCTTCCTTGTTTTATGTATGACACTCCTGTTAATCCAGCCCAGAATGGTATTAGCCTTTTTCACAGCTGCATCACACTGTCGACTCATATTCAATTTGTGATCCACTAAAACCCCCAGCTCCTTTTCAGCAGTTCTACAACCTTGCCAATGGTTCTCCATTTTGTAGTTATGCATTTGGTTTTTAATTCCTACGTGTTGTACTGTGTACTTATCTTTATCTTATGTTTATTATCTTGTTGATTCCAGACCAATTCTCTAATTTGCCAAGGACATTTTGAATTCAGATCCTGTCCTCCAAAGTGCTTGCAAGGCCTCCCAACTTGGTTTTATAAACATACTCCATTATCCAAGTCATTAATGAAAACATGGACTAGTACCTGATCCAGAACTGACCCATGCAGAACCCCACTGGAAATGCTTTCCCAGTTTGAAAGTGACCCACTGATAACTACTCTGGCCTTTCAATCAGTTGTGTACTCACATTATAGTAATTTTATCTAGGCCACATTTCCCTGATTTGCTTATGAGACTGTCATGTGGACTGTGTCAAAAGCTTTGCTAAAAATCAAGATATATCATGTCTACTGCTTCCCCACATCCACTAAGCCAGTAACCTGCTCAAAGAAGGAAACTAGGTTAGCTTAGCATGCTTTGTTCCTGACAAATCCATGGTGGCTATTCCTTATCACACCCCATTATCCTCTAGGTTCTCACTGCTGGATTGTTTAATCATTTGTTCCAGTATCTTTCCAGAGCTCAAAGTTGGACTGACTGGTCTATAATTCCTCGGGTCCTCTTTGTTCCCTTTTAAAAGACAGGTGCTGCGCTTGCCCTTCTCCAGCCCTCTGGGGTCTCACCTGTCCTCCAGGAGTTCTCAAAAATAATTGCTAATGGCTCTGAGATTGCTTCAGCTAGTTCCTCAAGTACCCTAGGATGAACTTCATCGGGCCCTGCTGGCTCGAATACATCTAACTTATCTAAATATTCCTCACCTGTTTCTTTCCCTGTTTGGCTTAGATCTTGGATGCGTCATCTGTAAGAAGGAGGTGAATGTTTTTGGTTGCTAATTCCAATTTTCATGAATGTAGCGTTAATTAACACCTTTTGTAACACAAATCATTTTTAGCTGAGCTTGCAGGTGTAGCAAACCCTATTAGCATCAAGGGCCAGATCCTTAACTGGTGTATATCAGTGAGGCCCCATTGGTTAAAGAGGTGGCATGGCTCACTGAGGTAGGGGACTGGATTGGGACTCAGGAGACCCAGGCTGGCTGACCTTAGACAAGTCAATTTCTATCCCTCTGCCTTGGTTTGTCTTGTCTATTTCAACTGTGAACTGTCTGGGGCAGGGCTTGTCTTTTACTATGTACAGTGCCTAGCGCAATGGGACCACTAGGTACTACAGTCCTGCAAATAATGATAATACTGGCCTTAGTGGAGCTCTGCCTATTGGCACCCGCTGAGGATCTGGCCCCAGCTGTCTTTTCCTAATAGAGGTTCTTTGCCCATCAAATTATCGCCATGAATTAATGTTGAAAGGAGTATGGGTGTGCGGGGGGGGGGGGGGGAAGAGACTTCAGGTTTTAGACTCGCCAGTTGCTGCTACAGGTCTCCCGCTCGCCTTTCAGGTTTCTTCAGGAAGATGCTGACCCCACTGGAAGGTGCTGTTGGCACCATCGTCGAAATCTTCCACAAATATTTGTACAACGAGCCTCATCATGACAGGCTCTCCAAGGGGAACTGAAATGCCTGATTCAGAAAGAACTTGGGAACTGGCTGCAGGTGAGTCAGCCCAAGATGGGTTAGCTTGTCCTGTCCAGGGAGGAATGGAGGGACATTTCAGGGGGCAGGTTCTGGGTCAATGGGCCGGATTCTGCTCTAATTACACTGGTGTGGCCCACTTGAAGGCAATTTCGTTCAGAGTCCATAGCTTCAGTGCAGCTAGACTCTATTCCCAGACATTCTTAGGTTAAAAGCAACTCTATTTTAGTAGGTTTCAGAGTAACAGCCGTGTTAGTCTGTATTCGCAAAAAGAAAAGGAGTACTTGTGGCACCTTAGAGACTAACCACAAGTACTCCTTTTCTATTTTAGTATTTCGCCTCTGTCTGCTGCCTCCCATCTTTATTCCATTAAAATCCTGACACAGGATGAGATGCTGAACTCCCTGTGAGTCTGGAATAACCTCACTGATGTCAGCAATGAAGCTGAGACCAGAAGAAGACCAATGAGACCAATGAAGCTGAGGCCCCCGGTCCTCGGGCAGTCTTGGGAAGAGGGTGCTCCAGTAAAGATTGCTGGGTCCTGTCTCAGTGTTTGCGCCTCTTTTAATTGTAGGATGCTATTGGTCCTGATTCTGCTGTCAGGTACACCGGTGCAAATTAGGCGTAGCTTCAGTAAAGTCAATGGAGTTACAAGAGTGTAAGATTGGAACCAGCCATGCAACAGCTGGGGTCTTTGGGACAGTAACAGTCCCATGGCTTTTACTTGTAGACATCAGCATCCGCCCAAGAGGATTTGGGGGAAATCTTCAGGTTTAGGAGCTTGTTGCATAATTTTCATTTCCAGAGCCGGTCAAAATTTTCCAGATGAAACATTTTTTTAACCGAAAAAGGCCTTTTAAAAAAAACAAAAACAATGTTTTCTTTTCAGAAATGGTTAATGATGCACAAACTTTACATATTTTGCAAACAAGTGATGCTTTTTTAAAAAAATGGAAAACGTGATAACGATGCTCTTGACAATTTTAGTTGATGGCAAAATTAAAGACCAAACTGACACGCAAACCTCCAAATGTCACTATGTTTCATGGGGCTAGTTTTGTATTTTTCAGTCTGGGCTAATCAGCCCTCTTCCTAGAAAGAGTCTGCTGCAATTAATGCCATTTCCCCCCTTCCCACACTTTCTCAACAGAATCCAAATGACCCATATCAACTCCAAGGCATATTTGATGACCTGGACATAAATAAGGATCAGGAGGTTAACTTTAAGGAGTATATGATACTGATAACCACATTGATCATTTGTACCCATGAGAAATTCCACGACAAATAGAAGCACCATCCCCATCCTCCAATGTAACAAGGGAAAGATCTTATAATTTGTAAAGAAGATGAATTGACTAGCACAGATTTCTGTCCACTGTGTTACAGTGAGATGTGAATTATCTGCTTATATGACACATGTAATGACATGGGATAATCATATGAGATAATAAGGCTTCATTAAAGCTCTCAGTTTGTTGTTATTATTTGCACTGCAGTAATGCCTAGAGACGCCAATCAGGATCACGGCTTGGGCATGTCACAGTAATTGACGGTCCTTGTTCCCCTGACTCTGCGAGCTGATTTTCATGATTAGACCCTGTGACGTTATTGACATAAGCTGGGACCGTATCAATCATTGTTGCGACCAAGGTCCTGTAGTGGCACCAAATCTTGCGTAAAGAGGGTCAAATAAGGCGTCTAAGACAAGGTTATGCTTTGCTGGTTGTGATTATGCTCTCTATCTGTGTGCATCATTTTTGTAGTTGAAGTTATGAATATTGGCTCTATACTGTCTGTATTTCAAATGTGTGCTGTGCTTCTGGGTGACACCCCAGACACATTCGTGTCAGCTCTGCCTAGCCTGCTGGATGGCCCATTAAGGACCATCAGCGATACAACTGACCCACTGAGAGAAGGCAGACAGGCCTGGGGACTCAGCCAGGTGTGCAGGGACCTGCCTATGGACAGAACTCTGAGGTGTTTCCAGGCCATGGGATGGGCAACTTGTCCTTGGGACAAAGAAAGCAGAGACCACATGGCAAGAGACTAGAAAAAGCTGCAGCAGCTCCTCCACCTTGTCTTCAGTCCTGCTTCTGGCCTCTGGAGGGACTTGGCTACAGACGCAAGCTCTGCACAAAGGACTGAATGGCCCCTCCCAGCTGGGGATGTTCTCCAGAGACTTGACTAGAACCTGCAGTTTATTGCATCGCTGCTACAAGCCTGAACCAAGAACTTTGCCATCACTGTGTGTCATTGATTCCATTGAACCCATTCTAGCTCTCATCTCTATCTTTTCCCTTTTATGAATAAACCTTTAGATTTTAGATTCTAAAGGACTGGCAACAGCGTGATTTGTGGGTAAGATCTGATTTGTCTATTGACTTGGGTCTGGGGCTTGGTCCTTTGGGATCGAGAGAACCTTTTTTCTTTTACTGGGGTGTTGGTTTTCATCACCATTTGTCCCCATAACGAGTGACACTGGTGGGGGTACTGGGAAACTGGAGTGTCTGAGGGATTTGCTTGTGTGACTTGAGGTTAGCCAGTGGGGTAAAAGCAAAGTCCTCTCTGTCTGACTGGGTTGGTTTGTCTTGGTGTGCATAGAAACCCCAGCCTTGGGCTGTAACTCCCCTGCTTTGAGCAATGTGTCCTGAATTGGGACTCTCGGTTGTGTCTCACCAGAACCAGCATCTTAACAGACCCGTAGCAACACGCAGAGTCCTGGGGAAATCAGTGGGGTGCAGGGGCTGTCCGTGCAGATCAGCTTGCAGAGAAGCTGAATTTGAGACAAGGAATACACGGTTTCCTTGCACTGCATTTCATAGATTCGTGGATGTTGAGGCCAAAAGGGACTAAATAAAGGCCAGTGATTTTGGTGCCTAAATGGGAGTTGAGCTTCTTTGAAAAAAAATCTACCCCAGAGTTAACTGGTCCCAATTCACCCAGTATTCAACAACTCCTGAATCCCAGTCTAGTGTCTTGACTGCAAGACACTCTTTCCTCGTCAATATATAGCGATACACACGGAGAGCGTATTCAGCGCTTGGAGGAAAGTCTCTCTATGAATATATCTTTGTGCTGTGTGTGGCTGATGGTGTGCAAACATGCCTGGTTAGACCGGTCGCAAACAGAAAGGCAGAAAAATTCCAGTGAGGAGTGGGAGAGAGCAATTGGAACCGTCCCCTTTCAAACCAGAACATGGCCAGCTACGGCCAGTTGAGGCTTGCTAAGAATGCTGCCTCTCCTGTAAATCTGCGGCTTCCCCACCTTCAGAACACAAAGTGACAAACGCAATTTCCTGAGCACAGCCAGAAATGCTGCAGCTGGTAGTTAGCTGACAAACCTGTTGAGAATTGGGCCCCCTGCCAGCTGTTGCAGGCGTCCCATTTGTTTCGGTTGTGAAATTAGCTAGCATTCTTTGGATTCAGAAGACCATTTTGCACTTCTCCAGAGCCTTGGAGCTCAATGCCCCTTACAAACAGTAATAAATTCAGCCTTATGGACTCCCCCCTATGCAGTGTTTGGCGTAGCCGTGTTGGTCCCAGGATATTAGAGAGCCAAGATTGGGGAGGAGATCTCTTTTATTGGACCAGCTTTTGTTGGGGAGAGAGACTTGAAGAAGAGCTCTGTGTAAGCTCAAAAGCGTGTCTCTCTCTCCCCAGCAGAAGCTGGTCCAGTAAAAGATCTGGTATCCCCCACTGTGTCTCTCTAAACTCCCTTCTGACATTTGGGCAATTGAATTCAAGGACAAAAGCTCCACTTGGGTTGCCTATTCTATGACTGTTTTCTGCAGGGGTTCTTGGACCTTCTGCTACAGCAACGGGTGCTGGCCTCCGTCAGAGACAGGCTCCTGGGTGGGAAGGATCCACTGGGCCAATCCAGTCTGGCTATTCCTATGGTCCTCCATAAGGAAGCCTTATTGTCCCTATTTTACCAGTCCAAGGCCCAGAGAGATGCAAAGTGTTGGGTGCCCCCCGAGAGATGCCAATCTCTCTCAATTCCCAGTGCCCCAGTGGGAACTGAGCGGGCTTGGCATTTTTTGCAGGATCATGCCATAAAAAGGCCTGGTTTTCTGAAGGGGTGGGCACCCAAAACTGCAGCTTGAACCCCTGGGAGTCAGCCTCTCTCAAGCCAGTGTTTCCAAAAGTGGCTTCTGGTTTCACATGCCTTGGGTTTTGGACACTCCACTTGAGACCCCTTCAGCGTGATTTATGGGAGTTCCAGTTGAAGTCAACGGGAGCTCCAGGTGCTCTGAAAATCAGGCCCTAGGAGCTAGATTTTCAAAAGAGCTCGGGGCTGAGATTAGCTAATGGTCAGCACCCACAATCAGGGCCAGCTAGGAGCCCCAGGCACGGATCAGGACTCCATCGCGCTAGGAGCTGTACAAACAGAACAAGAGGCCAAAAACAGAAGCACCCATCATTAGAGGCCTCTTAAATATTTTGGCCTGAGTGACTTGCTTAAGGCAGCAGAGTTAGGAATAGAACCCAAGTCTGCTGACTTAACTACAAGTCAACCCTTCCTCCTCCCCTACTGAGAGGGAGAATCATACCTGGGATCAAGCCCCCTTAACGAGATCTTGTGAAACAAACAGCACTGAGCTGGGTGCACGTACCGCCGCCCTCCGGATGTGTTGAGGGGACCGTTTCCTTTCTGGCACAGAGATCAGAATTAAACCTCGGTGGACGGGATGTGGCAATAAATCAGAAAAACCAGCCAGTCATTGCCGGCTTGCAGCAAATGAACGAGAGTGCACTAAAGTTACGCCTGAGGGTGAAGAGGAATAGGGTGGTTATATTGTGTAACGGGGAGCAAACGCCACCATTTACTGTAATGACACTTCACTAACACAGATAATTTGTGGATGGCATTTACGAGGTCAAACGCTCTGAAAACGGAATAACCAGGCAGCAAACAGCCTTATAGCTACAGAATGGAAATCCAGGAAACTGCAGCGAAGGAATATATAGCATTAGTGCAAACCACGGCATGGTGATCCTGGACAATGTAGGTCCAGATTCACAGCTGATGTAAACCAGCATAATGATGCTGATTTACATCCACTGAGCATGAATCTGTGAAGAAGGCTGGTCTTATGGATAAGGCACCTGGCTGCCTGCTCAGGGGTCGTGGGGTCTTTTCCTGGCTCTGCTGCAGACTCTCTATGACTGTGGGCATGTCTCTTTCTCTCATCTGTAAAAAAGGGGACACTGCCCCTTCCACCCTTTGGACTGCTAGCACTTTGAGGCAGGGGCTGTCCCACTCTGGATCTGCGCCCAGCATAATGGGGCCCCAAACTCAGGCTAGGTGCTGCCAGGTGATGACATTCAAAATCACAATCTTTATTCGAGTCCTCAGCAAAGGGGCGTTGAGAGTCACTCCAGCTGCGATCCATCGCAGTCCCTCTTCTTTCTTAGAGCTGCTTTGTGCTACTCCACCGCTGCAGCGTGGCCTTAGCAACCGTCTACTGGCCCTGGGAGGCTCACCGTCCTACAGGGAGATCCCTGATGGTGTCAAACCACCATAGCAGCTCAGACATCCGCAGGCTGCTCAGGAATGGCTTGGCTCAGACCCAGCCCAGGAGGCAGGAGAGGGCTTGCAGACATTATTTCTTTTTGCATGCCGTGATTGACAGCAGCTATGATCATGAAGCTGATTTTACAGAAATGGAAAAGTAAACTCAATGCACAGAATAGAGCAACAACTCTCTGACTTAGCAGCCCAGGAGAGGATCACCCGCCAGGAGGTCCATGACTTACGGTGACACTGGTCACTGTCCATCACTGCAGAGAGGGGATGATGGCTGGGAAGTTAGCAAATTGCACTTACACCAGATACTAATGCAATTAAAGGTGTTACAGTGAAACAAGCCAATGTGCAGCTCCGTTTAGTGGACAACATACTGCATAGCTCCATTTAGCAGAGCCCTTGCAATTATCATTCCAAAGCGGGTGAAAATAAAAACACGTGTGAAAGCCAAGTTAATCCACAGTGAAAACTTTTTGAAATAAGGCCACCAGAAAATCTTGCTTCGCTTTTGATCTGAGATCCCTCCAGGGTAGTGTCACGGTCTCGTCTCTGCATACAGTGGAGTGTTGACAGCTTGAAAAATCACACTGAGCAAGGAAACTCCTTTTGGAAAGTAGAAGTAAACTTTTCAACTCCTCCTGGCTGCTGAGGATTGGAAATGCAGTTCGGGTCAGGGAGAAATCACCGGTAAATTAGAATTATTATTGGCTGTTGTAAATCAGCAACGCTCCATTGAAGTCAATGGGGCTAGGCCAATTTGAAAAAGGCTAAGAATAATATGGGCCAATCACCATTTGTGCATCGGGCCCATGTTATTATTTATATACAGTAAAACCTAGGGGCCGCAACTGACACCTTGCGAGGTGCTGCCATGCACATAAGAGAATCCCTGCCCCAAAGAGCTTATAAACTAAATAGACAAATCCACCCAACTGTGGAAGAAAGGCCGAATGGTTATCCTCATGTCACAGGTGGGGAAACTGAGCCATAGAGAGAGCAAAGGACTTACCCAGAGCTGGAACCGGGCCCTGGACCTTCTGGATATTACCCCAGCGTCTTAATGACAAGACCGTCCATCCTGGATGGACAGCAGCCCACACATCAACAAAGGGGGCTAAATCTAGAGGGGATGTGTAAGTTGCTGCCAGTTAGATCCCTTGCTCTTACTTAGGGCCTGGTACAAAGCCAACTGAAGTCAATGGAAAGACTCACCTCAATGGATCTGACCTTCGGGCTCCTTTGGACTGAAACTTTCAGGTGTAAGGGAGTCACAGTGTGTGACCCCTCCATGTCAGGTCCCCTCAGAAGAGGATGCAAGTTGCTGCAGTTTGAACTTGTTTGCATCAGGGCCCTCTGAACACCTTAAGTAACGTGAGGGGATATACAGAGAACTGACCAGAATCAGTGCAGCAGGAAACATTTAATTATCAGGCAGTGCAGAGCACGTACAGAAATTCTCCCAGCCCAAGGGCTCCTGACGCCTCTTGGATTGTTTTAGGCTTGCTGTTTTTTTTCGGTGGGTCAGGTAAATCTAGTTTTAATAAGTTTGGTCTCAACTTTTAATCTCTCACAGAAGAAACCTAGAAGCTAAGAAATAAATCGGCTGCCTAGCGAAGGTATTTATAGCCCCAGTAACTAGCACATAGGCAATGGGTGCCCATTATTCATTTCAAGATGCTGAGTACCCAGCAGCTGTGAATGACTTCCGTGCAAGCTGTAGGATACACAGCAGAGCAAACCCCACAATTCTTACTGGTAG